ATTGGAATAATTACTTCCAAGCGACAAAGAATTCGAATCGAATTTGTGTGCACAAATCCAAAGAAGAGACAGGACTCCGAGGTTTGAGGTGAAGGAGTATATTAAATTGTCTATTGAATTTGATACTGCATTTCATTTAATCACTAATCATCTGGGCTTTCATTTGATATGCACCTACCAATAGACAAAGTAACAATGACGTGCATTCGCCACATCGAGGTTTACCAGCTTTTCCAAGGATTTAGGACTTTTTATATATCAATTAATTCTAAACGACCCGACATCACAGAGTGTGCCGATCGCGACATGTTCATTTGATTCCTTTCATCGCTTTCATATTCTATGAACCTCTCTGATTTCGGCCTTTGGGCATTAGTTCGTAGATTAGGCAACTAATGCAGTCGACTTCAATCGAGTAAATCACTATTTATGATGGAGATGAGAGATAGGTTTTCTCAATGCGTATAGCTTTTGGTGTTGATTATTCCCTCAAGGTTAGGCTATGCAATCGACATTATCAAACTCACAAACATAGCTGAACACATATCTGGCATTCAGATTTACTTGTGTTGACCAACCTAAAAATCATGTCAGTGATGCTATCCTCCGAAATGAAACTGGCTGCAGTTTGCAGTCTGGATTGATAGAATACTTGGTGAGCATGGAGCACGGTATCGTACCTAAGACCGATCCAGTATGTAAAACAGAATGCCTCTTACAAGTACTTTTCATGTGCTCAATGAAATAAGTAGGTAATCTATAACTACAACACTGCTAATATGCGAGTAGAACTTGGAACAGGCACCTTATAACACGGAATTTCCTTTTCAGTGGCTCACTAAGTTCTCTACCCTGCCATCGAGATAGGTGACAATTCATAACCATTTTTGATTGTTCATCATTTTTTGAGCCGCGCATGTCAGTGGTCTGTCAAGAGGGCTGACTTATAGAGCCCGTGTTTCGATCTTGCGATCTCGTCAATCGTCAGACATGCGTGGCTCAAAAATTGATCACCAAGCATTTAAAATTTGAGCTGTGGTCTTGAGAAAATATTCGAAACGAAAGATATGATACATTTTTAATTGGTACACATTTACCATACTCGGCTGCTAAGAGAGTCTGAATACTTTTCATTTATACGATTTGAAATTACAAATTTCTGGAGTTTCAAACACTATAAATTCTTTTGCTCGACAAGTGGCTTTCCGGAAAATAGGATGCCTACAGGATTCAGGTGAGTTCTCAAGATGATGAGGACCATTAGTTCAAATGAAAACGGGCAACCAATGTCTTGGGTTTTGTACTGAAACCTGTTTCGGCGATCCTTAGATTTGAACATAATGGATGTCGCATAGGAACAGCGACTCATATGGTCAACCGTAACAGCTCATCGACTGTCTGTTTTTTCAATGTCCCGTTTAATTAAGACTTTTTTATCGTCATTGATTTTAAGGGCTAAGCACTTAGCGTTTATCAGTCCTTAAGGGAAGCGCCATGCACAAAGTTCCACCAAACATCGTCTAAGGTGATTTAATGCATATGTGGCCCTCGCAATAAACAACTCTTTCTTTGTGGCATACCGATGTATTACGTCAATTCTACTATCCTTCCAGACATGTGAGGTAACAATTCGTCGACCCCAGATGGATGAAAGGCTTCGTGGACGCTGCTTGAGCTACGAAGCAATTGCGGTTACTGGAATGATCCACATTAACGAAGATCAAAATAAAGAAATAGGCACGTCAAAACACATTTCCTAATTTACATCAATTTTATTCATTTGTACTTTCTTGATGATCGAATACTTGAATGAGCTGGTAGAAACTTATGCGAATACTAAAATACTAGAAATATTACAGTGTGATCTCTGAATTAGCGAAGTTCATTTTATGGACCAACATGTTATAGATACGTTCGTTCAGTTGGTAGCCCTTATGGATAGGGCAGAGATTAATCAACTCTCGGTTAAGTTTGCTCAAGGATGACACCGGGTCCGGACATTTGCTTATCTTTATTTAGATTTGTGAATGAAAATTGCAAGCCTCGTCAAAGTTTTATGATCGTTTTGAAAGACGAAATCCCGTTATGCACCTCAATTGAACACCCTTGAGCATTTGTGGGTACAATGTATAGCGCCTTAACACTTGTACAATAAATTTTTGCAACCATTAACTCCACATCGACTATGTTTCAACCTCGCTATAAACATTCAATATAATCTGTGAGAATGTCTGAAGCCTTACCGAGGTTGTTACGTCAGAGCTAAACACTTATTTTGGAGGTATTGCCCTCTTCGGCACTGGCCCATGATCCACACTGAGTTCTACCTTGTATCAGAGATGGGATGACATTGCGTTATCACAACTTTTTCAGTCGATGGATCATTGCAGGTAGATATATAAACTGATCCGCTTTACGACTGTTTTCCAACTTCGCTATAAACATTCAATATAGCCTGTAAGAAGGTTCAAACCCTTTGCTAAGATATGTTCATAGTGAGGGTAAAAAAACAGTCGATGAGATGGATCAATTTGTATCTACCAGCCGGAAATCATCGACTGAAAAAACGGTGATGGCACAAGTTTATCGTACGTTGTGCTACCACCACATACGTCTCCCTTAACTGCTACAAAGTAGGGCTCTGTGGCGCGTGTGTCATCAATGAAGAGCGCCATACATCCGAAACACATTTATGGGTCTGGCGTAACAACCTCGGTAAGACTTTCGCATTCTCACAGATCATAAAGTGACCAACTGAAGTTAAATCAGAAATAACCAGCTTCAAACGCTATAACTCAGTTGGAACACTTGATGATAATGAAAATGTCAGATCAATGTCTACAGAAGTATTTACAGTACGCCAGAGGGTAATTTTTTCCAAATGTTTTTAAAGCTGCCTTTGCAAAATCGAGCAATTTTGCAGTGACTTTTCAGCGACGGTTTTGCTGTTGAATACTTTTTCAACAGATAGCTGATGAGTCTAAAATGGGGAACGAAGTTAGTTGGTGAGATGCCCGAAAGATATCGGAAATTCGTAGCTTTAGTCGTTCAGTAAAAAAACGTTTCGAGAAGAGCCATGCAGTAATATTGAATCTTTTCTGAAAAGCGAAATGTAAATATGATTTAACATTCTTCTGGAAAACTAAATCAACTTTATGACGGAACTATTCAATTGTGACAACTTCAATAATTCGAAAAAGTGATCTTTTTTAGAGGACAAAGTTGCCGAAAGCTTAACCATCAACTTTGAAGGGAGAAATAGAAATCTTGTGCAAGTTATCTTTTTTTTTTTTTGAAGAAAAAGACAGTTCGTCAGATTTTTCAGCAAAGCTCGAAACACTACAGCAGCTCCATCTGCTGCAAAGAAAGAAGTTACAACCATCGTCTTATTAAAATTTTTGATAATGTGGAGTGCTGTGCAAAAACATCTGCTTCAGCCGGGATTCGAACCCACATAACACTCTTTCCGGGAGCGTAAGCTAACCGTTGCACCACCGACGCTCGTTTTGCACATCACTCTTTGAACGCTATAACGCGGTGTGCAAAACGAGCGTCGGTAGTGCAACGGTTGGCATGCGCTACCAGAAAGAGTAAGATCTGGGTTCGAATCCCTTCTGACGCGAATGTTTTTGCGCAGCACTCCACATTATTAGGTATACTGTAACACCAGAAATGTTGAGGCGAGTACGATCTGCTTATTCGACACCTTCACTAGAATGTCTGAGAGTCGAGAGTCTCAAGCCGCCAAGAAAGGCGAATAACAGAAAAATCCTAGGCTGACATATTCGAGAATACGATATGCAGAACTTTCGATCCCAAGGGGCTGGGGGAGGCGGGTTGAACCGACGTTTCAGCTTTGAAAGGAGAGGCGTGCTACCACTACACCACTGAGGATAGCGATGTGTTATCACTTTTTCTTCGATATATTTCACTGCAGCTGTCAGATCTGCTATTTTTATAGCAGTGTTATGATGTCATAAAAAATTATACGAGAATGCTGAGCGATATGCAAAATTTTCGGCCGCGGGAGGGAGTTGAATCCGCGTTTCACCTACACTGAGGAAGCGTGCCACCACTGCGTGACAATGTTTTCCATAAAACTGTTCAGAACACCCGCTGAGCATCGGTATAGTTTCTATAAGAAATATTAGCAATGTTATATGGTTACTTACTTTGCTACGCGCTTACCCACATGGTGGAGAATAGATTGTGAGGATCGCATAAGGAACAGTGTACTTGGCCTAAGGCCCCCCCCCTTCCCCCCCAGCAACGAACGGCAATTGAACAATTCAAGCCCGTCGTCTGCAAATCAGAGATCTGCTCGTGTAGCAAGTACTAAAACACCTGCAAAGGTTGAGCTACAGATCTAATGCAAGGAGCGCTTCAGAAAATATTTATTTGGAGAAATCTCTATCTTTTCACATGTGAGTCATATCTGACTCATACCGTCCAAAGCAATAGAAACTATAAAACACAGACGTTCAGCTTAAGCTTAAATTTAGCTAATAGATATAAAATTTTCTAAAACGAATAAATGCATTTTCTTGAATTTCGTTTGCAATAGAGCTTTTTAAAAGAGTGATTCTTACAAAAATCCTCTTGGGGTCTAGTTTATTTGGGCTGACATGTCGGAAAGCGTGCTCCAATGCCAACACTCTGAATGCGGACGAGTTTCCTCGTACCGGACCGAAATCAATTTTCAGACTCACTTTTTCACACGAGTCGGGTGGGCGGGTTTATTCTGTGTCCATTAACCCTCTGAGTGCTGTCGTACTAGAGGGTCCTTCTTAGTGCTGAGGGTTATCGACCCTCTCTGTCGATTCAGTACCCCTTGGAGTTAGCTAACCAGCTGATCTATCGGGACTCATTGCCTTAGGTAAATCAGATCTACACTATTTTACCTCCTTATTCCCAAAAAATCTCGCTATTGTTTCTGTTTTCAATTAATTTTCAATATAAATTTTCAAAGTTGATAAAATTTTTAATGGTGTGTAAAATGGGCGTCAGTAGTGTAATGGATAGAGCACGCGCTCCCGAAGAGTGAGGTGCGGGTTCGAGTCCCGCCTGACGCGAAAGTTTTGCACATCACTCTACATTAATGAGTATATAAATTTTAATCTCATGTTCTGATTTTCTGCTTTTCCTTACTTAATTCTTTTAAAAACTCCAGATTTATAAACAAATTATCTTTGGTATTTGTAACTTCTTTGGATTTGGTGGCTGATTTTATCTTGTAATCAACTCCTTCTTAGTCAAAGAGGAGTCTCTTGTTTCGTATTGAATGGGCTACTTCCTTCTTAGTTTATGGTACTTTGAGTGAGTGTGGCGCAGTGGTTAGAGGTGCTCTTCGAAACACAACATCGATCAGTGGATGGTTAATGGTTCGATTCCGTTGAAGAGGGGCCGGGGATTCAGCTTTTTTGATAAGGATCCTCTCTTTCTTTGTTCTGATCCTATCGATTAGGCATTTTACTTCCTATTTAGGCAAAATAAGAGTGTTTTTTACAAGTTCATCTCTGTGATTCTGAGTACAATGGGTCATTCTCTAATGCAGTATTCCTTTTGAGACTCAAATTGAAATCAATTTTTTTGTTTGATATTATTTTTCTTGTAATCTTCTTATGTCGAGCGTTTCTTAGAGTCTGTAAGTCTTTTTCCGAACAACGTTTTAGTTTTCGGAAATCATCTTTATCTGACCGCCGATTGCGGTGTTATGGTGTTCAAATAAACCTAATGATGTAGAGTGGTGTGCAAAAACGTTTGCGTCAGCCGGAATTTGAACCCAGATCTTACTCTTTCCGGGAGCATGTACTAAACCGTTGCACCACCGACGCTCGTTTTGCACTCCACTCTTTCTACGCAGCAACTACGGATCTAGAGTAAGATCTGGGTTCAAATCCCGGCTGACGCAAACGTTTTTGCACACCACTCTGCATCATTAGGTTTTAGTTTTCCTTTTTGTACAGGAGGAGCTCCTGATTTTACCCGACTTTATTTCCTAGGGAAATTCTGGGTTCGCAGGGATCACTTCGCTGTTACAAGAAATTCTGTTTTGTTTTTATAGAAGAGATTTTTCATATTTTCAGCTCGGTGCTAGAGGTAGCCACTGTGATTCGATGGCTTGATAGTGTTGGTTTTAGGAAACTTGAGACCAGAAGGATTGGATTTCTTTGGAATAATGGCCGACTTGATTTATCTAGGCCGTGAAATCCGTTGAAATCATCACTTTTTTTGATCCGTGCCACAGCTTTTTTTTTTCTTTTCAGCTGTACGGGTCCTAGTACTTGTAGCTTCGATTCGCCCCTTTGCAATCTCAAGGATAGGCAGGCTGGGAGTTTTGTGGGATGCTGGTTATTGATTCCCTGCCGGTGTTGCAGGTTGTTGGATCAATCCCGTGCCGAGCATCATTAGCCACTTGGGCACTGCCCCCTTCCCTCCCGCTGTCGATTTAGTAGAATTCACTGCCTAAATAAGTCTCGGAACTGCAGGGTTCTACCTCATCATTTGTGGAACTTCCTTCTTTGTTTCCAAAGTTAGAATATTCTTTAACAACTTTCTGCTAAGAGTAGCCACAGGGATTGGAATAGTGCAGCTTGCATGATGTGGTCCTCAAGACCGACCATCTGTTAACCTTTGAAGTCTTCAGTAGTTCATGGGTTTATTTCTGATTAGCCATAAGACAAGGTCATTTCTGATGAAAGTATCACTTCCTGGATGCATGTTATTCAAAAGAATGATGGCAGAACCGGGCCTCCGTAGTGCAACGGGTTAGAACACGCGCTTACCGGATAGAGTGAGATGAGGACTGGAGTCCCGCCCAACGCCAAGGTTTTGCGAATCACTCTGCATCACTGGTTATATCTGTACGGTCTTCGTTAATCAAGCGAATAGCACGGAAGTTTTCCTCTCTTCATGTTAATTCAAATAGTTTGCTAGAGTCTGAGGGAAGTCGTTGGTTTTTAAAATATGTTTTTGTATTTATTTGTGTTGTCTTTTTAAGATATTCACCTATCTGATACCTCCAAAACCGACTTTCATTTCACCTCGGTGTTACCTATCAATGATACTGTCGGTACTTTTTCTTAGACGGTGGCAAATGAATATTTGACATCCCATCCATTGATAAGGATTTCTCATAAGTGTTAGGAATCATTCGAAAGCTTAAATCTCTGGCTAGCGCGGTACGGCCATGTCTATTCAAAAAAGTCTGTTGTAACTCTTCAACGGAAAGAAAACATTTCTGTTTTACACACGCTTTTTTCTCGTGACGCAGGCCTTTTTTCTTTAGACTATTGGCTATCATTCGATGGCGTAAGATCTAAAGATTCCAGCACTATGCTGATTTTCTGGAAAATCCGTTTCTCTGCAGTACAGCAGGAAAATAAGACCAGAATTCACATACGCGGGCAAGGGTATTCTGGCTATCTTACGGGGTTGGGGCGAAGCGCGAAGACGGATGCTTTTCGCTGGACTTAGGAAAAAAACGGCCTCGCTGGATTTTTGTTATTCAATTAGGAATTGTTTCTCCGTACTTTAGAGAAACTGCAGATTGAACCTCTGACTCTAATATTGAAAGATTTTCTCTATACATTCATGTTCTTTTCGTCTCAGTGCCAGTTTTGACGCCGATGTAAAACAATTTTTTTCTTTGACTTTGACAGCGTTGTAAAAGAGTCTTTCAAAAAAAAAACGACCACTTACCGCGCCAGCCAGAGAATTTGAGATTTCCAATGGTCGCATGACGTTCTTGTGCAAAATTCCTTTTGCAGAGACTAATGGATGAAATATCCATTTGTCGCCGTCTAACAGAAAAAGAATCGCAGTTTATTTTCGCGACTTAGAGCATCCTTGGAGGTGTATGAAAATTTGGCTTATGTCTCTCGTCGTCGTCATTTTCAGAGCCGTTGATTCGAGTCGATCTGTCAACTCATCGATTCTCTGTGTCTATATTATTACTTTGTAGAATTTTGTCAATCATATGGGCAGTAAGACGTTGGAGTCCATTCTCTTCGACGAACTCGCCAGTGAAGCTTCGAACGTAATATTTTATGCCCACCGGAAAGCGACGTTCAAGAAGTGGTGCTTCGATAAGGACGGTGCTCCATGTTCTTCAGATGCGGTGAGTCTTGGAGTCAATTCTGAAGAAATTACGTTTGAAGCTAATATTTATCGGTTGATAGTTCACTTATTAGCAGTCGTTCATTTACAACTTTGTTATGTTATTTCCGCACGAAAGGCGCTTGACCCTACAGCGCAGTTCGCAAGCTACGCGCGAGTTCCGTATTTTTATTATTGTTCTTTTTTCTCCATTTTCAAAAAGAAAATTTTAGGTGTTCATACTGCTGTAATACTGTGTAATTTTCTCCACACGAGCTTGCTTTTTATGCATATGCAGCTCTTATGTACGACGAAAACTCCAAGTGCGAAATATCATCCTCTTTTTGTTCTTACAGCGCACTCTGTAAACTTTTTCAAAAACCAATTTCATTGTCAAAATCGACAAGATTTGAGCTATCTAAGTGACTATCGGAAGTTCATCAGAACACCATCAACAAGCTCCAGCCGAGCAAACAAATTAAACCGAGTGTGAAACATAATATTTTTTCTGCTAGTACAGCTCAATAGGAAAGGCTTTTCTGCGAACCGCAGTTTTGAGAACGTTGAGATTCAAGCCTTCGAATAATTACAATTTAAGGGAAAAATTTTTTCCCTGCAAGAGAGCCTCTTAAAAAATCGTGTACCAAATCGATAGACTTAGTCCCGTAAGGGTTAAGAGCTTGTACGAAGTTGGTGTATCTTCCTGAAGATCGATGGCCGACGTTTGGCGATTTCCCCTTCCTTAAAACGAAGGCAACTTTATCATGCGTTATCTTATTATTTCGTGATTTATATATATATATATATATATATATATATCCTACAATTGATTTAAAATGGGTTTCATGTATTCTATAGACATTTTAACTGATTTTTGCATTGGATTATCGCTAGGTATCAAAAAAAGTATTAGATCGTTCCATAAGTTTTGGCACTATAGCAATAAACACTAAATTTATAAGCTAGAAGTCGATAAAATTGCTTGATTTTGCTATGGTTCAATCATGCATTTTCTTGCGAACATTTCAGTATACAACTTGCCTGTACTTGCCTCAAGATGGAGCTGCCGAGGGAACAAATTCGCTTGCTACTGATGCATGAATCGCGAGTAGGGAAAAGTGCTGGTGAAGCGGCGCATAAGATTAATAGAACTTCCTGTGGAGGGCTCGGGCACGACTGATCCTCCAGACAGTTCTCTCGAGCTTTGAGCTTCGCGAACCACTTCCTAGTCGTCCTTTCTGCAATCGTATCGTCGCCCCAAGCTCCATCAATGCGTTAAGATGGAGCCGACGTGGGAACGAATTCGCTTGCAACTCATGCACGAATGGCGCTTAGAGGGAAGTGCCAGTGAGTGCTGATACGTTGATGACTAGAAAGTGGTTTGCGAATTTCAAAGCTGGATATAACATTTGGACGATCACTTGCGTTTGGGCCGTCCACAGAAAGCTCCAGTAATCATGCGCACCGCTTCACTAGCATTTCCTCTACGTGCCTTTCTTGCATAAATAGCAAGCGAATTTGTTCCCTCGACGGCCCCATCATAAAGCAAGTATAGGCAAGTTGTAAATCAAAATATTCGCAAGAAAGTGCGCAGTCGAACTATATCAAAATCATGCAGTCCAAATTACTTCTGGATAGTAAACTTAGTGTTTATTGCTCGTGCCAGAACCTATGGAACGTCTCAATATCAACAGAATGTCTTGATGTAGTATGACATAGTACGTCCGAGCTTTGTGGAAGGAGAATTGGTCGAAGCGCTAACGATGGATCTTGTAGAAAATATACCCACCTCGTTCAAGCTGTTATAAAAGGGCAGTTCGTAAGATAAGTATCATTTCTCAAATCAGAGTTTATTGAGAGTAGCACGGTAGAATAACGCCGTTGTAGCACGTACCCTAGTAAGGCTGAAATGCGGGTTCAACTCCCGCCTGAGGTCGAATTTTAACTCACCACTTGATTCTCTTAGTCTTATTGA